GTGTGTGTGTGTGTGTGTGTGTGTGTGTGTGTGTGTGTGTGTGTGTGTGTGAAACACATATATAAGTAGCCCCAGCATGGTAAAGACAGTGCACCGTAATTACAACCCCTCAGGAGGAGACTACGCATCTGAGTGAGTCGAGTCTAAAGGCAGGGAAAAGACAACAAGCAGTGAAAGAGAAACAGCCAGGCAATAAGCAGGAAGGCAAAAGCAGTGAGACAACATATAGGTTGGAGGGCACAGGGGAGGCGGGAGGGCACACAACACACAAACCCGGGACTCAGCCAACCTCACCCCAGAGGAAATCTTCCGTGTGGAACAAACTGGGAATTTGGGACAGGAGGTTCAAGTATCCTCATGGGCTTGTGTTTCAGGCTATACTAACTTGGGGAAGCCTTTGGCTCACGGAAATACTCATCTGGTTACTAAAGGCCCTGATGAACTCACTTTGATCTTAGTTGTACAACTAAGGGGTAGGAAACGGCCTAAGGAATGTTTTCCATTCCATATTAGTACGCCTCAATCCCAATTGACTTTTGAAAGTTTTGATCCATCACTGTGGTTTACCGAAGTGAGAGGAATGGAGAGAAAATCGTTTCGATTTGATGGATTGACCACCAAGGTTTTACATCGGCTGCACGCTCCCAAGGCCGATGTCTTGGCAGATATCAAACACGATGGGAAAAAAGGCAAGTAATCACTCAAGCGGCCTAAGGAATGTTTTCCATTCCAAATTAGTACGCCTCACTCCCAATTGACTTTTGATCCATCAGTGTGGTTTACCGAAGTGAGAGGAATGGAGAGAAAATCGTTTCAATTTGATGGATTGGCCACCAAGGTTTTATATCGGCTGCACGCTCCCAAGGCCGACGTCTTGGCAGATATCAAACACGATGGGAAAAAAGGCAAGTATTCACTCCAGCTGCCCTTAGCCTTTGGAGTCTGGACTCACAAATCTTTTTCAAAGTTCTGTGATATTGTTCAACGTCTGCCAGATGCGAAGAAGGCAGCCTTACTATGGTTGACAGTTCACCTCGCTATCCCTACAGAGGAGTGTTTATCTAGTAAGAGTCGGTATACCAACCCAATTTGTCTAGTATGTGCACTTGGAACAGAGGATATTCTCCACCTTTGGGTGAATTGTCCTCTTCAACGAGCCTTCTGGTGCGATTGGCCCAACCTTTGTAAAGGGCCCTCTCCTCTTTTCCTCTCTAATGATCTGGCGGCAGATATCATATTGGGGGTCAATGTGAATACTGGTTCTGATGCGGGACTTCGCGTCTCTGAAATGGTTCACACAGCTATTTTAGCTGCATTCTGGCACGGCAGGAACATGTGCATTCAACAGGATAAAATTGCTTGCCTTGCTCATCTTCAAACGTCTGTGATACTTAACATCAAGAACATCATACAAGCCAACTTCTTTCACCGCCACGCTACTCATCAATCAGTCCTCAATCCCTTCCTGCCCTCGCCTGGGCACCATTCCCCAATTTCCTCAGTTTTTATTTTGGAGAAAATCGCTATATGTTTGGTCAAGCCCTCTCAATTGAGATCTCAATTGAGAGGGAACGACGAAGTAGTGAGGACTCTCCCACCCCTTCTGGCGACAACCATCAGGAGGGGCGCCCTTCCTCTCTGCAGTAACTGGAACCTCCATCATTTCATCATTATTACATCAAGTAGTATAGGTTGTTTGTAGGGTTTTTAAATTTTTCTTTTAGCAGGGGGTAAGTTGTATAGCCTGGTATTGTCTCTTATTCGCAGTGTCCTGTCCTGAGTTTCGTTTTGAGTTTTGAATTTTGATTTGCAGTGTTGGGCCTATCCCCTGCCCCCGAATATCCTTTTCTTGCAGGGTTGTCAGAACGCCTACGGCCACGCCTACCGTAGGTCTTCGGCTCGCCTACCAGTCGGGCCGACCCATAGGCGGACTGGTGAGCAGTCTGTAGAGGGCCATCCACTGTTTTTGTTTTTCAATCTGAGTTCAGGGTTTCACTGCGCTTGCTGAGAACAGCCCAAATCCGCTGAGAA